CTCTGAGGATCCCCGCGTGAACCTAGGGCTCAAAGTGGCGAGGTTTTCTTCAAAGTTTGTCGTCGCTTCGGCATCTTGATGGATTTTTAGCCATCTTTTTTCCAACGACGGGCTGCCTCGACGCGCTGCGGCGCCCCTCGGCGCCCGAAAGCGCTGCGTCTTGCGCCTGCGCCACGCGCGCAAGCTGCCGCGTGGCTGCCCGATCCCCAGGCCCATCGTGTCACGCCACGAAGACGGTCGCACGGGCCGCTCTGGGCGTCGAAACGGTCTCTCTGGGCACACGGTCGTCGGCGGCACGGCTGCGCAGCGGCCTCGTGGGTGCGGCGCCGCGCCCAGAACGGTCGAGGCCCTTGTCATGATGTGTGGTCCCAAGCTCGAGTGACAAAACCGTCAACACGGGCCCGTGGCGGCGTGCATCCGGAACTTGACGGCGTGCTCGTCGAGGAGCAGCTCGAGCACCGCCAAGCTCATCGACGTCGTCGTGCGGGACCCCATCAAGCTGTACTACGCCTCCTTGGGGTCGCCCAGGGGCCCGGTGCCGAAGGGCTACGGCAGCGGCCAGCCCTACGGCCGGCCGGGCCCGACGACCATGCGCGACCACGGTGCGGCCGCGGCCGGCGAGGGCGACTGGCGTACACCACCCGTCGCACGCGCCTTCCACACGCCTCCGGGGGGTCTAGGGGGCGTCTACGCGCCTCGGCGGGGCGTTAACGTACGCGTAAAGTGACCTCGCGGATTTCGCCTGTTCTGGCCTGGTTGGGCCTGCGACGACCGCGGGGGGGCAGCGACGACGGCGGCGCGTCATGCTTCACGAGCGGCTGGGCTGCTCCCCGGTGTACTATTTTTTACGCCAGTGACGAGTATGTTCTGTAAGGGCCTCCGCAGGTCTTAGGTACTAGTAACTCCGGTAATGCAGTTAATGCTCAGCCCTACTGGAGTAACCTAGCATGAACAAGCACCGCAAATTAAAAAATGAAGCCGGACGATGGCCGGGGCTCAGCGGGGGGCTCAGCGTACGGCATGGGCACGTGGGGCTGTGTTCAGCCACGAAAACCGAACCAATCGGAGAGCTTGGAAGTTCTACCAGCGGAGGGGCTCCAGAGGACTCAGAAAATGCGAAATTGGCCGCCCCGCTACCGCCCTGGGGAGAGCTGAAAATCCCCGACTCGGACACCAAGTCAGTGTGGGAAACGACCATAGGGCTGGCGCGCGCCATAGGAATTATTAATTATTCATCGGCGGTCGCCCGACGGGAGGTCCTCATAGAGGTCCTCCGTCCACCGCGCGCGCGGGGGTCACGCTGGAACGCAGATTGAGGCAAAATTGGTGACTTATGGCCCCGGCCAGGCCGCACTCTCAAGTTAGCGCGCTAAACATATCACCTGAGGCGTTTTGAGAGGTTGGGGTCGTTGGTTCGGGTCGGGAATCGGATGATATATCTTCAATGTGCAGTGACACTTCCCCCCAACGGCCGTGGGAAAACTCGTTTATATTATTCGCTTCTCACACTGCACCAAGTCGGTTTATGCTACGTTACTCTAGTAGGAACTCCGCTCCGCCTAAGATTGTAAATTTAAGGTAATCTCGGCGAGCTCTCGCAGGGGCAGCTGTGAGCCTCTGAGAGTTACGTGGACTGACCTACTGGCATTAGCTATAGCGCCAAAGAAATCTTGATCAGCTCTAGGTAGAGTCAGGTCCGGCTATAGCCGGGGGGTCATTCCCACTTAAATGGCCACCGACACCCCACCGACGGACGCCGGCGAGCGTCGTCGCTCGGTTGTCCGGTCGTCCCCGGAGGTACCGTTTTCGGGGTTTTATTCGCGCGCGAACGCGGCCACGGAGCGACGCGCGGCCGCCGCACGGAACGCGATCATCGAGTGGTCGGATTGGACACCAGATCCCCATCCAACGCGTCGGACTCGTCTTAGAACGCGTCACTACGGGTGGTTTTTACGGAAGCCACGCTACTGGAGGACCCTCCGGAGAGCCGGAGCCGGTGTTGCCCCGAAACCCCGAACCTCAGCCGGAAAGTGCACCGGGCGCACGACTCTGTGCGTGTACTCGACCGGCGATCGCCATCTCGGTTCTACATATGTTGAGTCCGTTGCCACACGAGGAATAACCCCCTCACGTGACAAACCGCTCAAAGCGAGGCATGGTCATTGATCGCCGTGGCCACACGCCGTGCGCACGCCTCTGCGGCGGCGAGCGCGTCGGCGTCGTCGAGCCACCCGCGGCAGCACGCACCGGGTTGCTTGCCAAGGCGCCTCCTCAGCTCCCTTAGGAGCAGAACGTAGCGCGGTGCGCGCTGCACTGGCATGATGGCCAGCGATGCGAGCGTGAGCCGTCGTGTATTCGCCGGCTGGAGCTCGCAGCACTTTAGGAATGCCTCAACAGTCTTCGACTTCGCCCGCAGCGTCGCAAGCTCGTCCCAGGCCGCCGTGTAACTCGCCACGTAGCACCCGTAGCACCTGACCAGCTCCAGCTCATGTGTCTCAAAGCAGCTCCGCCAGTTGCCGCTCTGCTCCGCAGCGCGCAGCGCGGCGGCAAAACGACTAGCAAAGGACACGATGTCGTCCAGCGGGCTGAAGAGCTGCTGCGCCGCGCTGCTAACCTCCGCGCCGTCGACGCCGTCAACGACAGCCACACCGGCATCGATTTGCGATCCCCACAGCCGCAGAGGCCCGGCAAAAACCCCGGCTAGAATATTTAGATCGACGATCATCCGCTCTTCGGTCTCACCAAACTCAGCAGCTGCCTGCATAACACCCTCCATCCGTCGACAAGCTGGCACGCCATCCAGAAGTGAGAGGACAGCGGTCACACCAGGCGATGGTGAGATCAAGCGCCGAAATGAGTCACGGAGAAGGCGCAGTGCGCCAGCAGCCTCACCTGATATGACATGCCGAGATGTTGGGTGCCAGAAGAGATGCCGGATTTCAGTATCAATGTGCTCGGCGACAGTCGCGGATAGCAAACTTGTCCAGTGTTGCCATCTCCCGCTTAGTTTACTTGCGATTGTGTTGTTCTCAATAGAGAGATGCCTATCAAAGCGCTGCAAGTGACCGAGGCAGGACTGCAACTCAGCAACTGCGACACCAGCCAGAAGCCTGATGGCAAGGGCCTGAATTGCACCGGAGGTTGAGCTTAACAGATGAACAGCGTGTTGCACGACAGTCACACCAAGACTGGCATGATCGTGCGCCACAAAGCAAAGCAAATCTTTAGCTGTTACATGGTCTCTTCCAAGTCGCTTCCAGACAGCATCGAGTGTGGCAACGCAAGAAATACGCATATGAGCAAACGCGAGGCCTGACGCAGTGAGGACATAGCCTAATTTAATGTCTGACATGCATGTCACGTCTGTTACAGGGTAGTGAAGAAGCGCAAGTCCGAGATGGAAAAACCGACTAGAGTCGGCACTGATCTGCGGTCCATCGTCTGAGATAACGTGAGCAGCCTTGTCCAGAACTTGGAAGGATGCTAGCGACGTGCACGCACTAAGTAAGGGTCGAGCTAAAGAAAATGGTTGCGCCATTAGAGCCGAGCAAGCCTCGAGCTCTGCATTCATCACATGTGGATTATCAACGGTGCCTCCAGCTCGCAACATCGCAAGGGTTGCCATTGTGCAGTCTTGCAAGGCGTCGCGCTGCAGGCCTCCAAAGGGGGACTGCTCCTCTACACCGATCACCTCAGCGTCCACGCGGAAGCTAGACGAGGAGCGGTGCGAGGAAGTTTCATATCGATGTCCAGCGTCCGCCTGATCTGTGTACCACTCCACGAATGCCATGGATGCCAACTCTGTTAACCATCCAGGTAAAAGTACAGTGGCCAGCATAGATGCATCATTGATCTCCCCGTTGGCTGTAGAGATGAGTTCACTGATAGCCTGTGCTCCAAGTCCCCAGCAGAGCGCCAGATTATCTGAAGTAACGCATCCAATCCGAGCTGCATTTGCGCGTTTTAGTATATCAATGACGGCCACTCCAATTTTCAAAGCCAACGCCCGACGACCCCGGCGCAGATGGCACACCAGTGGCATCCGTGAAATATCTCGAAGGAAAACGAGCTCGCCAATAGCCGCATCAATGCTGAATTCGTTGAATTGGCTTGGGATCGCATCAATAAGGAGCATGGCGCGCTCTGCAATAATCACAAGGGGAAAGCATCCTTGAAGTACCTCTAGTGCGCCAGCAAGCACGCTAACACTGAGTTGTCGTGCATGGGAAATCCATGCTATGTGATTGGCCTTCGCAAACATGCGGCACAAAAGTCTCAACACCTCGTCGACGAGGTCGAGCATCAACGGGGCTGTGTGGTGTGGTCTCTCACGCGATGCTCCCCCGGAGCGTACGTAGCTAGCACAGCATATTGCAAACAGAGCATCCAGGGATGCGACTGTCTCGGTCAGCGCAGACCGGCGCTGCTCCTCACCGGTTCCATCATCGTCCCAATCGGCACCAAGGACATCCAACCACTGAAGTGGAGCGGCAACCGCAGTCAGGAGTGAAACATGCAATTCTGGTTGAGCTGGAGTATTCGATAATGCTAACGATGGTTGTGAAGATAGCTCACGAGCGGCCGAGATCTCAAGAAACCGATTCCACTCGTGTTCGGCAACTCCCTCTTCCGTGTGAGAAGAGCTGCCTAGCAAGGATGGCGCTCTGGGCACACCGGGGCGCGTCAAAAGTTCGACCTCGCGTTGGATGGCATCAATAGCCGTCTGCTCGGCAGTGCGTGACGACGACGGGATCCAAATTTCCATCATGGGACTAGGGGTGCACTGCTCATTATCATCGGAGGGGCTACTGCGGTGTGATACACGCGAGGTATGCATCGGTGGTGGTGAACTTTCACGCAGAGGTGACGTGGGCACCTCGGACTCCAGTGTTGGTGGCCGTAGTCCTGGGAGAACACCACTGATGTCAGCGGCGAGAGCACGTCTGAGAAAGACTCTGTGAATATGCGCACGACCTGGCCGTATTGCGAAGTTTGCGAGGGTCGTTGCGAGCGTTCTAAATGCAGCAGCAGGCTCTCCTGGCGCGCGCTCTGCCAGGAAAATATCTAGGAGCGCATGGAGACCACAAGTGAGCCGCGACGGCCAGAGTCGAGCACTATCGACGAGAGCATCGGTGGTCGCCGCTGCATGAATAGCGTTGACTGTCTCTTGGCCAGGGCCAAGTTGCCTCCATCGAAGTAGTCGCTGCAACTCCGGTGTGCAGTCACTAGCGCTACACTCTGACACTAGTGCTGCCTCAGTTGCCAACGATGCACAATCCCCACCGGCCTCTGCAGCTACCTGCGCAACTGCGCCAGTTCGCGTTGGAGCTGTCGGGAAGAGAACGTCACCGCGCCTTGGGGCTCGCAGCGCACCTCCAAGGGCAACTGCCGTGCCACCAACAGACATGCGTCGTCCGCGCTGCCGTGCACCCCGCTGGGGATGGCCTGGCATCCTTTTGTAGACGGTTTTGAGTCTACGCCCCCCAGACGATGAAGCAGGGGAAGGAGATAATAGTGACCCAGCCATGTCTGGGCTAATATGATCGAATCCTTCAAAACAGGAGAGTGTATGTGCAGAAGCAACATCTTCTTCTCGACTCTGGCCATCTACCCATCTTGCAATGGAGGCGAGCACCGCACCCCGCGCATCTTCACACCCCAAGGGCAGAAAAGCTAATGCAAAAGTGGCAGCGTAAGCATAAGCTCGGACCGTCTCTCGGTCAGGGCTGAGCTGCCGCCATCGAAGAAGTTTCTGCAGGTCGGAGGTGCAGTCACTAGGGCCAGCTTCCAATACGGGTGCAGTCTTTGCGTTAGTATGGCTTTCCCACCCCCGAGCCATTACGTTTTTTTACAGACCCATCTATTAGCGCTTGAGTTCTAGTAATTCTCCAGGACATGTTTTTTCAATTTCGATGAAACGCGAAATCGACAAAGATCCTGGATAATTGACGCTCGAAAGACGGGACGATGGAAATCAATTCATTACTTATGCCGCTCCTAGCGCCGCGCGACTATCCCGGCGTGCATGGACCCCGCGGCAAGTCTTGGGAGGCACAACGAGAGCTGTCTCTCGGAGGAGACGCGACGCGCAACAGATTGCGTCAGGCTGAGAACGGGTGGTTTTGAGGGGTAAAATGAGTCGCGCGCCCCCGGCTAGACTCGATTTTGGCGCTCTTGGGCGCAGCTCAGCGTCGGAGATCGTTCATAGACACCCCGCGCGGCTCTGGTCGCGCGGGCTCGTTCACTGAGTCGAAGGTCGTTCATCAATGATTGGCTCTATCCAGTGTGCATCCAAGAGGCAAGCGGTGAGCCACCTAACCACAGCATGTACCACCAACTAACTACCCCAGAGTCGCGACTTGCTCAAAATGAGTGGTCAAAACAGCTGCAACATGGGGTCAACGAAGCATGTGAACCACCCGTTCTGGCCGATCGGCAGCTAGGAGGATGGGTGCTCCTCTCCGACATCAAGGAGGGCGCGCAGGCCCGGAAGCGGAAGAAGTCCAAGGACAAGGCCGCGCCGGACCCGGCGAAGAAGACCAAGAAGGCGGCCACGCCGGAACACGACCGGAGGACGCGAACCGGAACACGCGACCGAGGGCCCCGGGAGAGCCGGAAGCCGGAACATCCGCGAGACCTCTACCGGAACATCAGGGCCGGAACATCAGCGCAAATGGTGATTCACACTGGCTCTATCGACCAGTTCTTATCTCGAGCTTGAGCAACCTGGTGGTTTTGACGCTCGATCATAAATTTCGACCGTGTGGAGGTCATGGCCGAGCAGCCCTCCAGCTGCCGATCGGCCAGGACGGGCGGTTCACAGGCTTCGTTGACCCCATGTTGCAGCTGTTTTGGCCACTCATTTTGAGCAAGTCGCGACTCAGGGTACTGGTGCTTGGTGTCGTGGGGTGGTTCACTGCCAGCCTCCTGTAGGGTCCCTAGTTTGTAATTATTTGGTCCGCCTCTGAGGGCTGTCGCGCGGCCGGTTCTTGGTCGCCTTCGGCGCGGGTTCGAGGTCGCGCGCCCCCGGGCACTCCCTGGGGACGCAGCGCTCGAAGTCCCCGTCGGATTTGGTCTCGGAGGGACCGATTTCGGGCTGCCCATCGGGTGGCAGCGCCGCGGCCTTGGCGGTGAGCATGCGGGGGCGACGCGCCACGGCGTTGGGAGGGCGCGGGTCGATGGGGACGATGCGCCGCGGGACGACGACGGGGGGACGGGCGCCGCGCCGGGGCGCTGCTAGACGTGCAGCGTGCGCGCGCGCGCTTGCGCGCGCTCCAAAGAGTCCGACAAAGAGCCCCATGGAGCAGAAGTCGATCACGGACGGTCCGGCGGCCGCGCTCGGGGCCGCGCGGCGCGGCGCCAAGCTCGTCATCGAGCCCCGCGGGGCCTACAATGCGACGCCGAAGCTCTGCGACTCTGACGGGGAGTGCGGCGCCGCCAACCGGCTGAGGATTCGGCCGACGCTGCTGACGACGGCTCCGACGGCGAGCTCGAAGACGGCGCTGACGACCCATGACTCCCTGATGCCCGCCAGGCCGCAGCTACCGACGAGTGCGGGCCCGTGGAGGCCGACCCCGCTGGGGTGGTCCAAATTACAACCTCCTCGAAACCCATGGTTTCGGTAGGACCATAGGACGACTTCCCGGGCGCACCCGCCCGCTAGCTCCTCTATCTCCCCAGATGCGAGGGGTCCCTCGGGGATGGTGGCTCAGCGGCTCCTGTGGTTTTGTTCTTCAGCTCCGCCATGTTGCCCCTAAAATTGATGTTTTCTTGGTCCAAATTGCAGCAAGCGCGGATATGGGCACCGCCACGGGCTCTGATTTGGGGCGGTACCTTAATGCCCACATTAAATCTTGCTTACGAGGTCGGTGGGCAGTTACTTGACAATTCATTTATACCTGGGTGGTCCGGGACCTAACCCAGAGGGGCCGCCGACCACCAGGCACACGCCAGCCCAGGCATACGCCGGCATACAGGCGACGCGAGTCTTAGTCAGAAGTGGCAAAGGGCAAGTAAGGACAGTAGAACAGATAAAGGAGAATCTTCCTCGTGGGGACCTCGTGGGCGGCGCCCTTGCTCAGCTCGCCGAAGTAGCCCGCCACGAAGCCGACGACGGAGCCGAAGGATCCGAGGCG